AGGAAGGAATCACACACGCGCCTTAAAACTATGCGCCCATTCACTCTTTTTATTCGAACAATCCTTAGTCTGCGTACGGACGACCACCGCATTCAGCGCCGATACTCTCAAATTTCCTAATTATTAATCAAACTTTCTGTTACTTGCAAAAAACAGGGCGGATACCCTTGTCAGGGTATTCGCGTATCCGCGCCGACAACTTACCGGACCATATCAAGCGACGTCCCTGTCGCTCAAGGAATCAAAAGCTATCGGATTCAATTACAACCTCCAATGCTGATGAGAAAGGAGTCAATCCGATTAGCCATCAAACTCAGGTTCGAGGCCTCCAACAATCCATGCCAACACAACTATATGCTGCCAGGATTTTAACCTGAGCCTCCATTGTTCTGACACTAGGACGCCGGTGTACTACGCATCAGTACTACAACATAAGTTCCGAAGGCCTTCACAACCGCCCTCTCCCCTTCGTCCTAGCCTCTACCCTGCAAGCAGGGCCATAACCAGGGACGCGGACCCTAACCGAGACCTTTGAAGGCATTCTCCTGCCTCCCTTCCAATAATCTTCACAATCAAATATACATATATATACATAAATCTTATCACAGACTCTTTCCGCTGTCTAGTACGGGAAGGTCAAGTCTCCATCTTGGCCCACCATAGCCTGGGTGATCGGGCCAGGTCTACGGCCACCGCGTTGTTATTTTAGCGGTAGTGCTATCGCAGGTTGCACCACGATAGGCTTTCTCCTGATAAGCATTTAATCAGGGCTTCCCCAAAAGACTCATATGACTTGACTCTTATCCCGCGCCATTCTGCAGAAGTAAAACCCTCTTAGGCGGCCACACCCTTTAAGTGTTTACTCCCTTGGTAAGACGCGGACCCGCAACCAGGTTGCGCCGGCCAGTAGCCATCGCTAGGGTTGTGCCCTAATGGTGCTAAACTTTACCGTTTAGCTTGATCTTCCTGCATATGCCTTAAGATTAGCACAAATGGCTGGACGGTGTGTCGCAACAATACAGGTCTATTGCGGGACTACGCATAGACCTGTCACACATAAAAGGTATTTACCAGTCCTCTGTGAAAGAACACAGATAACACACGACAACCTCTCCACATTCACAAAACAGAATCACCGCCAGATTCACAAGGCCGCGACCTCCCAACTTGATCAGAGTCAGAAAATCACACATCTCAATGACATCTTCTCATAAATGAATCATTTTGCGACATTCCTGAAAACTCCACCAATGACCAAACAAAACTTGGTCCTTTTCATCAGTCTTTATCCTTCAAAACCAGCTTCCCATGCCATTAAATCTTTTACTCACCTTTATTCATTAAAGGTGCCTCTCTCATTAGGTCTCTCAGTCATCCTTTCCTTCTCTAGGATGAACTCTCACGCGATTTTTTTTCTCAACCATAAACAACTCAACACTGAGGGACCAACTTATGGGTCCTTATCACAACTCAAACAACAAACATTAGGCATTGTAAGCATTCGAGTCTCAAAGACCCATAAATCTTTCTGGATTCTCACGTATCTCACAAGAACGGACTGCACTCCCTCTCCTTATACCCTGCCCTGTTATCCGCCTGGGGGCAGATAGCACGAGTATACTGAAGAGTAGACAATTCACATCCATTCACGTTCACACAATATAAAGCATATGAGATGTTTCTCACCCATCTCTCACAAGCCATCATTCATCAGGATAAAAACCACACATGTGAGACTGATTGTGATCGTCACAGACAAAGGCATAGTCTCAATCATAGAGTCTAAAACAAAACTTAACTCATAGTACACTCGGGGACAAAATATCTCATCCCAAAAAGGGTACAAATGACATCCCAACTTACACTCGGGGACAAAATATCTCATCCCAAAAAGGGTACGAATGACATCCCAGCTTCGTAACCCTCTCAAGTGACTCAGATCCCTCTCCACATGGTACAGATCCTACTGCCCTACCAAAAGTATCTTAAGGTCAAACCGAATCCACCCTCAGCGAGTCAGTAAGGAGAAAAGGTAACCCCACCACATGCACACCCTCTCCTCATCAAGTCCCGACTTAGTATCACCATGGGAGGATCCTAATGATACATATACGTTCCCTATATGTACACATAACAGCGTGGGTATCCAAAATTTCTCAAAAGATAGAAAATAGAACTGAAATAGTAACAAGGACAAAGACATGCCCTAATCTACGATACACACTCAACTCATCCTGCCGGTCATAGGTGAACCAGTCCCTACTCACTCATCTCCTTCTGGTTCTGCCTATACAGTTGTACCCTGGCCCCATCTGCAGTCCGCTCCACCAAACGACCCTGTTTATTATATAACTTCCCATCCCTCTCAGTAACCCGTCCTGCAGCCTTATCCTCAAGCAACAGAAAAATTATGGCAAATTTTGTGACAGGATGATCACATGTGGACCCCATTTTTAAATCGTTGGAACTGTGTTAATAAACTGTTTGGCGGGGGTGGTGTCATGTGTTCCACCAGAAGTGAAGGAATTCAACGCTGACCAAACATGTCGTAAAGAAAACATAGTGTGTTCAATTGTTGGTCCATTTGTTGAAAACTTGTTGAAAACTTGTTGAAAACTTGTTTACCAATTGTTGAACATTATATTTTTTTGTTAGGGAAAAAAATCAAAATTTGAGCTCGTGTCGTACGTTTTTGCGGTTTTTTCCCATATGAGTGTTTGTTTGTGTTTGTGGCTGATGAGAGTGTGTGTTTGTGACCAATGGCCCTATATGAAGTACAATATAGGGAACTTCATTTAAGTTGGGAATAATACTACATCGATATAGTTCCCCCTAGGTAGCCTCTCTAACTTCTTATCAGAGTAATCTCTAGAGATAGTAGTCTAAAGGAAGAAAAGCATAAAGCTAACATCATTAATATTTTCTGCCTTATCGTACGATTCCCCACTTAAGACATGCACAAACAAACATCATCAATCAAGAGGTTAAGGTAGCAGGACAGGTCACACGGGGCCACATTCCTTCCACCTCCACCTTAGTAGAATCAGAAAGTGGTATGTTAATAATGGATCGATCTCTTTTCATGGCTTTCATTGTTTCCTGTCTATTGAGAAGATTAGTAACAATATGGTAGACCACTCAGGATCGACTCATCTTCGTTAGGCGTCTGCTTGTGATAGAGTAGACTTCACGGGCCTTGCTTCGCCTATTTACTGTCTTGCATAAGATCAAGGTCAGATGGTAATAAGGCGGGCTTCTCTGAGCCTCGCTCCTCCTATCACATTGTCCGTGCTATTATTGCGATAAGGCAGGCTTCTCGGAGCCTTGCTACTCTTATCACATCGTTAGTGACATCATTGTGATAAGGCAGGCTGCTCGGAGCCTTGATACTCTTATCCTGTGTTGTATCCTGTACGCGTACGCGTGCGTACGCGTACGTATTCTCGCGTACGCGTATGTGACAAAAACCCGTGTACGTGTACGTGTTTTTTTTTTCTTTTCAAAAATATATATCTGTTGTGCCAGGCCCTTCCCTCGGGGGGGGGAACATATGTGTTCAGTCTTTTAGAGTCTTTAGACATTTAGACACACACACACACACACATACATACACACAGTCCGTCTGTCAGACAGCTTGACTGTCACATACAGACTGCTTAACAGAGTGAGTGACAGACAGACAGTCATACATGACAGACAAATAGTCAGACATGACTGACAGACAGTCAGACATGACAGACAAACAAATAGACGAACAAAAAGAGAAACAGGCAGACGGACAGATCGAAAGACAACTGCCTAAAAAACTGACAAACAGATCGACAGACAACTTTCTACACACAGATGGACAGACGGACAAACACAAATATGAACAGGGTAACGGAGTGACGTGGCACATGGACAGGGTGACAGAGTGACAAAAAGACAGGTACACGTGACAGGCCCTTGCAGACAGATAGACAGACACACACAGACCATAGAGTGTGACAGAAACAGACAAACAAACAATGTCAGATAGACAAACGAATTGACCACGGCACATCTTGACTGACTGAGAGACTGACAGACTGACAAACAACTTTACAGCCAGCCAGACAGACTGACGGGCACACAACACGGTCACACACAACCAGAACAGCATGATACAGGTCTTGGCTGTGTGTGACCGTGTGAGTGACAGACAAACATGTACACGTGACAGACCCTTGCAGACAGATAGACAGACAGACACAGACCATACAGTTGTTGTGCTTGTCGTACGACATACACAACCCCACAACAAAAGAAAAAAAAAGACTCACGGGCAGACACACGGTCACACACAACCAGAACAGCGTGACACAGGTCTTGGCTGTGTGTGACTATGTGTGTGCCTGTGTT